GGAATGTTTGGTCACTTTGAATTTCCATTTTTAAAGTAAAGAAGAATGCATATCCAAGTAGTTAATGAAATTAAAAACAGAGTAGCTATGAATAAAATTAGAAATGAATAGTTCTTTCATTTTGAGAAGTAGAAAAAGATAAATCCAAGACAACTAGCATCTGAGCTGTCTTTTGATTTGTTTATTAAAAAAAGAGGGCAGAGAGGATTTAAAACAGAAAAACTAAACCAGATTGAACTATTATTTATGGCCAGTTTCATTATTAAACTCTGTGGAGAAAAATACCAGTAGAGAATGTGATAAAGTGTCTTTTCATCACTCAGCCTCAGCTAAAAAGAACATTAGAGTGTTAGACAGCATGATTAGCATGTTCTGTTTTACAATCAAATCGTCTCCAAATTCAGTAACAGCAAAGCCAACAAGAGCCAATTTGAAATATTGAGGGGGAATCAGAGCAGAGAGGTGAACTTGCAAAGTGAGTCACCAGTAACTCTCATAACAGAGCCACCTAAACAGACTTTTCAGGACTGAGATGTGCTCTGTTTTTACATCAAAAGAATATATAGCTTTTGGCTTTTATGAGATCTCTACTCTGCTTCCACTTCCGACATCTGCAACAAATGAATTTCCAGCCTCTTGTTTTTGTCTTCTACCTGTAGCACTCTGCTCTTCCAAGCTAGGCGTGCCACGACAGGCTCTGCTGATAACCCTACCTTTTGGGCCCAGGCTATTTCAAGCCACCACAGGGCCCCAGGGGACCTCTGAAATGCTCTAATGATTAGCTAGATGGGCAAATACAATTCAGAAGAAGAGGATCTCACACTGTGAGATTAAACATTAAAAACGAAACTATGATGCCATGTGGCACTAACATTATAGCAAACTGCACTTTGACAATTTTTCTGCGTTAGCTCCCTTGTCCACCTCTGTTTCACCTTCCAGATTACAAACTCTCTGGAGCGAGGCCTGCTTCTTCCCTCATCTCCTATTTGAAACAGCCCAAATAATAACTTAACTTCTTTGTTGCTTAGTGTCAGTCATATCACTCACGAGCCGCAAAGTTGTAAGTGACTTGTACAGGTAATTTCAAATGAGGATGAAAAACCTCTACAGAGAAGCAGGAAGTTCTCTTTTCCTCTCAGTTTCCTCTTGTTCCTTCATGAGCAGCATGGCCAACACAGGCAACGCTAGCATGGGGGCTGCCGTCTTTGCATGCGCCTGCTTCTCTGCACTTCCATCTCCAGTAAACGCGTGCTTGGATATCAACGTCAACTACTACTGGGGCTCAGTGTCCCAAGCTCAGGGTCAGGACGCGCTGTAGCGCACAACCAATAGTCCTCAAACCACCCTGCAGCAATGGCAACTGTTCCTTTCCAGCAGAGGTCAGCTTGTCATAAGTCACCTCCAAAATCTATTTTCCGCAAGAATTCAGAGCGTGGCAAAACCCAGGTTCGTCACAGCCATGCCCTGTGTGAAACACAGTCTCTTCCTTCTGCCCCTCAGCTTTATTTACTTGGCTTGATGCTTTGCGTTGCAACTGAAAACTGAGTAAGGAAAGAGCTATCCACAGGACCGAACGCTTAAAGAACAAAAAATCTCTGCTCCCTCGGGTCCCGCCTGCTTAATTCCGAGTCTCAGCCCATCTAGTTGAAACTATGTCATAAATTAAAATAACTCAAACCAAAGACTACAGAAATGAGGATGACAGAGCCATGTGACAATTCTAAAGCCCTGCTTCACATCAAGTGCTTCATCATTAATATAATCACAAAGCGGGCTGCCAAAAAAAGCTGTGTTTACAGCTTAGCATATTCAGAAACATTTCCAAAGGAGGTAGGTGCTTACTAAGTCGTTTGCACTCCAGCCCACCATCTCTTTCACGTATAGCAACAAACAGAGTATTTATGGGACTAATAATTTGAGTTAAATTTCCACTCCCAAAACATAACAAAAAGATACCTTTCTCATCTGTGCCAGCAAACCTTCAAACTCCTTCAGGTTCAGGGTTGATCCACTATATGAGGTGCAGCTGTTTGCCGCTTTCCCTAGCCAATAAATGGTGACTAATACCTGCAGAAGTTAATAAGAATTAATTGAAGCCATCTACGCAGTTACTTAGCTATATTTACTTCCCTTAAGTATATCTCATTTATTCTAAATTGCACAGTGGCACAGGATTTTGTTATGAATCTGAATTGAAAGGGAAGTGTCTCTCAATGGTTAAACACAAATACACTAGACAAGTATTAAAACACGTAACTTAACACATTATCTTCCTAGTATTTTATAAAAAAATTAAACTCTCATGTCTTGCTGGAAAGTAAATAGTAAAAATAAATCTGAACAGAAATATCAGACAAGATATTTGAAACTCCTGCCAAGCGAGGAGGGCTCCAGAAGACACACTTATAAATATGCCCATTTGTAAATCCAATAGGAAAAAAACCCTAAGGAGTACTAATATTAGTGTCCATTAATTAAAATAGTTATGCCTAATGGAATAAATAAAATGCCTGAAATGGATGTCTGCCTATTTCAGGAAAAGGGAAGGTAGTTCCATTTTGAATCATCTCAGCACAATTAACAAGATGACTCGGCAATGGTAACTTCCAGTGCCCAGGCTTAAGAAATGCTCAGCCCAAGATTAACCAAAAGCCATGCGCATCTGGTTCCTCCTGTTATACTAAAGTAGAAAGAGTTAGTGGCTTCATTTAGGTTCTGACTTGATGTCTACCTATAACTCAAAAGTCACATCAAAACTAGCTCAGTAGAAATGTCAAGGATTGCACTTGCAAATGTATGTACCCTCTCGCTCCTTGAGGGAGCAAAGGAATTTGATCGGGAACTACAGCTGGTGCTGTAGTTGTTCTAGGGAAGGAGAAATTAAGATGCTTGGGATGGTCAAATCCAACATTTCCAAACCCATTGCTGTTTATATAATGTAAGGAAAGCAAACTGCGTCCGCTGGACCTACATACGTCCCCACTTATCCAGCTGCCCTATCTTTAGCAGTACCTGTGCAGCAGCAATTTAGACTGGAAACTGTGCACCAAAGGCAGTTCAGCTCAATGTTTTGCAAAGGATAAAACGTCAAAACATCACCTCAGAACTAAGGGCATTTTTCTCATTTAATGCTCATTATTTCTGCATACTCCATGGCATAGCAGAGTATTTAACTGCAGAACAAACAGGAAATATTTTGATGTGGAAAAGATGTGCAACCAGTAATAAATAATAGTTGCCTACAATAGTTGCTACTAACTGTTTTAAGAAGTTAAATAAACTGAAGTATGTTCTGATCAGACAGGGCCATATCATGTATATTATATAGGGAATTAAATAAAATAGGAGAAATTCGGGGGGGGGGGTGCCGCGACAAGACAGTCCATCAGACTGTTCTTCCCTAAAGCACTCACCCAAATTGCTTCAATACTTCTTCCTCAGTCATACATGCCTGACTCTGGATTATCCTTTTTCCATCAACTTTCTCTAACAGCTTCATCTTTTATTTAAGTGTGATGTCCAAAGTCACACATAGCACTTCAGTTGAGGCCCCACCAGAAAAAGAATACAGCACGTGTCATACAGATTGCCTGTTCAAAAGCACAACTGTGGTGCTTCAGATAAATAATATAAGTGCCATGAAATAACTGAATAACGCTTTTAATATAGTTCTTTTTTTTTTCTCATTTCTGAAATTGCATCCAAATTGATCTGACTGTGCTGAGGAGAAGGGAGCTAGTTTTGCCAACATTGTTTTTTTTTTTGTTAAAAAAACTTCTATCTGAACTGTTTTCCTTCACCCAGCACTACTCAGCACAGAATAACAAATTTATGTAAAAATTTCTTACAGTACATGTTCTCAAGTTAAGTGAAAACACTTGCAGATATAGTAGTCCTAGCAACTAGGAAACTGTCCAGTTCATTTTTCTATCCAGTTCTCTGATGAAGGCTGTGGTATTCTTATTTATTTCTGCTAGCATTCGATCACTTTCTCTCTTCTTCCTTTCTCTATCCCCAGCTGACTGTTTCTTTTTTCCAAATAATGTTATATTTGCAAGCAATTCTGACTGACTGCCAGCCGAGATTACAGCATCATGCACCTGGAAAGTATATACTGCCTACAAACACATTGGGGAGCACGCTTTTGAAAGGTAACGTTACCTTTAAAAAAATACATCTATACAAAGATATCTAATCAGTGCCCACAAAGGTGCCAAAATGCCAAAGTTGAACTCTTCCCCTGCAACTTTGGGTGCTGGAGGGGTAAGATATTTCTCTACCGATGACAGGAAAGATGGGATGAAATAGGTGCGTGATTTTTACCTGTCGCCACAATTACTGGCTCGCAGAGTTATTAGGAAAAGGTCTTGCCTATTGGCATTGCCTCACAGTTTATGGGGATGTTAGCCAAATATAAAATTGAATTTACAGTAGTTTGCAGCTGACTAAAGACAGACAGCTTGCTAGGCTTTACAAGAACAGCTAACTCTGAGACCAGCAATTTTAGCCTTTTTCTTTTCCACTTAACAATTACAGAATCCATTACCACTGCCATTAGTTTAAATCAACAAGAAATTGAAGTATAACAGAACTAGCCTTTCTAGGAAAACACTTATTTATTTGGAAGAACAAAAAGAAAGCTAGCAAGTGTGACAGTAAAGGTTTGTATCCAGATCTGGTATGATCCTTTTGCTTCATTTAAAATGCTTTGTGCAAATTTACCTTATGCCTAGTATAGTCATAAAAGGCTACAAAAGCATAGCTTCAGGTGTGAGTCAAGCTGCTCCCAGTCAAAACCAGAATAGATAGCACAGAGATTGCATTGCCTATTTCCTTATCTAAACAGAGACAAACATTCCCCATTTCCTTTCTGCTCTAATAGGGATGCTTTGCCATAGCAACTTTGCTTAAATTTCCAACATAGCCTGGTTACGCTTGTGTTCAAAAGTACTTTTCAGTGATACTCAACCATACTAAGCTTTTACTGACAGAATTCTAACTCAGGCCAAATATAGGATCAACCAGTCAAAAAACAAACAAACAAACAAACAAACAAACAAACTCCAAGTTATATACTTACATTTTTCAGCTTCCTACTATAGTCAATGTTCCTGGTTGCACGCACACAGAAAAAAAGAGGAAAAAAAAATCAGAAAGCAGACACACTTTCCAAGAGCGTGTATGCAGCAGATCACGTTTTCCCTAACAAAAGCCTGCAGAATGCTTCTGCTGGCTGGAAACACATGAAAGCTAAGAAGATGTAGTTCACACATTCATTTATTCATAACGTGGGAGTATTTTGTCACCATTACTTCAATCATTAAATTAGGATTCTGGAAGTATAAAAGTAAATGTGTTTGCAATGGTCCCACAGTAAAGTAAAACAGTGCCAAAAATATTTCCTTTATACAGAGTTGCTAATTTGTTCAAAAAATAAGACCAAAGTCCTCACTGCTAAAACATATTCTGCTGTAATCTAATGGTCAAACCCTACTCTCCAATAAATTATGCAACCCATACAGATTTTGAAAGCAACTGAACGGGCACCTGACAAGGAGGAATTGAACACAAACGTTAAGGAAACAGAGCAGGTGTTTCTGAGTAAATAAGCATCACAAAGAACAAGGAAGACGGAAGAAGTAACAAGGATCCTGCCAGCTGCAACAGAACCTGTTGTGGAAAACATAGTCTGCTTTATGAATGTATACGCAAGCACTCAGATTGAAAATTGGCATCCTTTGCAGGTTTTTTTCACCAACGTTCCTCAACAAGGGTGGAAATTTTATGTTAGAAACAACAAAGCGTGAGGTTTGCACAAACATAAACAACATTTCAAAAGCCAGCAAAGAAGCTATTGAAAAAAGAAAGAAGGGAATGTGTATTGTTCTTAGGTGCTAAAAATAACTTCACATTTAGTACAGATTGTCTCCTGATTTTTATATAATGGAATTGCCTTCTATTTTAACAGTAAGTCCAGTCCAGCAGTAAAGGTCACCTGACAAAATCAAAAATAAATGCATTTATATCTGTGAGAATAGCAAAAGCCTAAAATCATGTGTTTTTTGATAACACCTTTTTAAGCCAAAATTTTATCCATCGATGCCCACATACTAAGAAAAATAAAACATAGTCCTATTTTTTTAATAAAACAGCAGTGGAAAAGAGTGCTGTTTAACAAGTCAAGAAGACATTCTTTACAGCATTAGCTCATAACTTTTATAAGCTGAATGATCCAAAAAAAATAGATCTAATGCATACTTTTATTAACATCTATATGAAAAAAAATCTTTAAAATATACCATTTTCGTAATCATGTGCAATAATATCATATTCATCTTTAGCCACAAAACAAATACTGTTTTTACTGTGTTTAGAAAAAAAACTAAAAATCTTCAAAGAGGGAAAAAAAAATCACCTCCATACTTTGGGACCTAGTTAGTAGAAGACAGTCTTGAACATATTTCTCTATAACAGTCATGAACTTGGCTTGTACACCTCACTCAGTTACTCAGCATGAACTTGGACGGTACTAAGAAAACATCTGGCTCGTTTCCCACAGCTGCTTTCTCTGTAGAGTCAAGGGGGGAAAAAATCCGAACCAGTGAGACATTTCACATCCACCTAGCATCATATTCAGCTGCCGGCCAACCCGGCTTTCCACAGTTTATTCCTCCTGGTTTAACTTGCTTATACGCTGGACAGCTCTCCCTAGAGCTGTGAGGTCGTCCCAGCCTCCAACAAGGTGCTCTGCCATCCTCAACTCCGAAACAGCAAGCTGCTTATAAGAAGCACCATTTCCCTCTGGCTTTAAGTGGAGACTAGGGAGTTTCATAACTCTCTCCAGCCACGTGTTACTGTGCTTTTACAGGACGTTGTGAAGAACCTCTTTCACTGCAATATTGCCAGACTTAGAACAAGGCTAGGGAAGCCTCACTGCAGGTTCATTATATGTCCCCTCTCACCGGTATGTACATGGGAGAAATGTCTCATGCTCAGAGCCAGAAACTTGGAGAGGGGCAAAAAGCTGGAGACTATTCCTCAAAGCAAGGGAAGTGGCCAATTTAATTTTCAGAACCTTTGAATTTTCCCAGACAGTGCTTGAACACCATGAACACTTGCCCAGCTTTCACTGCCAGAAGGGAAAAAACTATAATGCTGCTGAAATTTAGTAAATTGTTTCCATACACTTTTCTAAGATGGGTATGTTGGACCAGGATTTCATTAGAGATCTTTCTGGCCAAATGAAGCAAGGCCATTCAATCAACTCAGCAGTGTCTACCTGTCTGTAGAGCAGTGACTTTTTAATATTACACACGGCAGACCCAAATATGTCAGGAGAACTTTTATGTAACAGCAATTAAAAGTCTTGTTAACTTGATGAAATAATGCGTGTCTTTGGGTGCAGGTAGATGGAAACACTTGATTTCCACTAGTACAAGTGAGAGGAAAATACAGGTGGTCTGACTGTTTCTGTTCCTCCAGTCCATGATAACAAAGTCTTCCCTGAAAGGGACAACAGTCCATATCTGAGACATCGGACTACAACTATACAGACTTTGATTCAAGCCTGTGTTGTGTGACCTTAGGCAAGTCAGTAATTCTTTCCATGATGGTTTCTCACCTGCACTTTACATCACTTCATAGAGTTGCTCAAAATACAAGCATTAGAGTCTAAGCACCTCAAAATCTTTACAGTAATAAGGGATGTGTATACACCAAGGCAAAAAAGCTATCGATTAAATGGAGATTTTAAAAAATCATTTCGGCCAAAAAAAGAAAAGAAGCAAACTAGCAAGGAGAACCCACTAATATCTGTACATTATGCTGCAATAAAAATGCATGTGTGTGGTAGTTTTGGATGGGGTGATAACGCATCTAAACTGTGGCCACAGCTCAAAGATAGTACTGTGTCACAACCCGTTGCTCTTGTTAGAACATAAACAGGCTATACTCATGTCTGCACCTTGTATATTCTGAGAGACCTTCAGCTGCTGGTTCAAAACCAACAATCAAAGTCCTATAATGAATCTTCAAAATAGTTTAATCTGAAATAATACAGCAGTGATTTTTTTTCCCCCGGCCTACACAGTTCATTAATTAGATAGCCAAAAAGAAAGTTATCAGTTTAGACTCACCCCCCCCACCTCAAGTCCCACATAATCTCATTTTTTGAACTAAACAAGTATTTTAAAAGAGCTGTGCTTGATCTCGCTGGGCAAAAAGACTGCCCTTAGAGAAGGACTGCTGAAGAGAACAGTCTATTCTTTCCTGTGCTGCAGGTTTCAAAAGACTCAGCTTCATATTTGCTTTATACAAACAACGGTTCTATACCCTTTTTGCTCATCCTTAAATATTTACTATTGAATCACATGCATCTGAGGTTACAACATGCTAACTGCAAACTGCTGATGTACTTACTTGACAGTTACTCTGTTTGATGTGTCCTGAAGGTCACCCGGATCAAAGAGCTGAGATTCTTTAAGTCCCAGCTCTTTGCAGCCTCTTAAGAATAAGATGATATTATCCTGAAAGAAGGCAAAAATTAAATACATTTAACTCTTCTTCACTGGAAAAGGTAATCCTACCAAACTGACCACTCCTCGACTAACCCCGTAACAACTCGCTAACAGTCATATCATTATCAAAATGAAAGACCAAACACATTGCCAGTTATATCATTTAAAAAAGCGAAATATGTTTTGTTTGAAGACCCAATAAGTAAGAAACAAAACTTGTCTTTTTCTAAATGCATAACTGCAACAAGTTTATCTTCTCCTTCCAAACTCAGATTTTGGCAAATTTTTAAAACGAAAAACTCCTGCTAACTTCCCCACCTACCGCTGTAGGCTGCTCAAGCACAGCCTGAGCACGTTACAAAGCAGAAGGGCAATGGCTGGATTTCTGAGGCAAGCAGGAAGGATAGCAATGCAATGGCCAGCTCCCATTTAAGCAAGCAACTTGTTCAGAAAACATTTTGCATGTCAGTATGAGGAAGTCAGTTATTGCTAGTTAACACCACCTTTCTGCTGCCTCTCTGACTAACCAGCCAGAAGCCCCTGGGACAAGAGGTAAGTGCTCTCTCCCCAAACAAAAAGCCTGGAACTACACTCCAGATAATCACAATCTGTAAGAGGAAACAGCACCAACTTTCTAACACAGTTCATGGAGAATTTACACTTCCCTGAGTGACTTATTTACTGTTGCTCAAATCAGCACCTAGTAAGATTAAGCCAAACTGAAATAAACTTCTTTCAAAGCAAGTAAGAGTGATCACACGTGACTTTTCACTGAGGGGGCTAGATCAGTATGTGTGCGCGTATGTTTAATATATATTTTATACTTACAAACACATATGCACATACACTTCTCCCCCACATCTTTCCATTAAACCAGCGAAACTTTCTTATGGGGGTAAATGTTGAGGATCAGAAGAGAACAAGTTATTAGATTCGCAAGCTACTAAATCAGGAACCGCAATGATGCACGTGTGGACAAGTAAAGATCAAACGTAGAGGTTGATATTCTATAACGCCATTCATCTAACACCGCCAGCTCTTCTTTCCACTGAAAATGACCTGCCACGTCAATAGTTAGAGAACTATAGTGTGTTTAAGATGCTTGAAATACAGAGGGTTTTTTTTTTTTTTTTTGATTAGGAAGACCGGCAAAGGCTTGAACAGAGGGGGCAGCTTTCACCTCTTATCTACCCCTACATGACCAGAGCTCTGACCAACCGCATCTGCTTTCAGGCCTTCATTTATGTGGTACCGGTGCAGCTCAGTGAGAGCAGCCCTGTTTGCTTTGCCAGGGTGCAGTGATCAGCATGTTAATCGCTGTGGCACTCTGCATGCCAACAGTCTTGCACATAAAGCTTGCTGTCACCAACCACACCGCAAAAAATACTGACTTGGAAATTTAGAGGACTCCAAATCTCCTTTTCTTTGCTGGCCGAAACTTAACAGCTCTGGAAGGGAGCCAGGGAGAAAGGAACAACAGTTGAGAGAGCAGAAAGCCCATAACCTTCATGACAGCATCATTCATGACATGAAAAGATGCTTGTAAAATTCTCCATCTGGCTTACTGTTTGCATTATAATTTTTCCACAGTATTTCCAACTGCAACATGAATAACTCTTATAGTAAGCCTTTGAAGGAAGACAGCTCTGGTCAGTTCCAAATGGTGGGTGGAGCAATGTGTAAATCTAATAAAAATGGAAGAGCATTAAAAAAAGTTCCTAACAACATTTCCTAACAAAAATATACAGACCATACAGAATACACCAATCTAATAGGCTTAGAAAGCAATCAAGGGTGGGGGAACTCCAGGGATTCCTAATTGTGCCCATCTCAACGCCAAAAGTTCAAATGAGAAATAGTAACAAAAATATGTCATTTGGCAGCCTGTGTAGTTTGGAAATTCAGTTCTTCTATTGATGAAATGTCCATTTCTCAAAAAAAGTGTCACAACCCTGACTGTTTTTGTATATGCTTTTATTTTGATGGTCATCGTAAAAGCAACGTTTGCTAACAGAGGCTGTAACACCGCATCCCAAAGTGTTCTTTAGAAAGCTGGTATATGGTCCCCATATCAGCAGGACAAACCATGCACACCAGCAGTATTCAAGCAGCGAGCACTGAAAGAAGCTTTTGCTTCTGTTGACAATGCCATAGTTTTTATCTCCCAGTGGTCTCAACAACGGCAACGTTTGTTTAGAAGGAGAGGAAAAAAAAAAAAAAGATATCGTTTTCAAGTGAGAAATGTTCAGGTAAACCTGCCTAGACTTTCTAGGCTATTATTCACAGGCCAAAATGTATCTCACCATACTGCAAAACTGAACTTATCCTAGCTTGGTTCAGTGCCGGTGAAATTTGTACGTGTTAGTGCTGTTAAGACACTGGAGAACAATACTGCTAAATCACACAAAGGGGAACGATTTTTATCACTAAGATCCAGCCCCTAGGAAAGCTTTCTCTCTGGATTACTACACCTTTCATTGGCCAAGTCCTGGTTTCTTTAGTTCTGAGAAGATTTTGCTTCCCTTTTATGAGAGAAACTATAATTCTTTTTCCGTTAACTACTAAAAATGTAACTACTCATTTTTTTCATAGTCACCTATACTAAGGTCCCGCTTCTCTGCTGCTGTTGAAGTAATGAAAAATAGGAAAGAACATGTAAAAGCAACAATGTATCTAAAGCATCCTAACCTTAAAAAAGGGCTGAAAGGCACCTACGTGCAAGTCCAGCTCCTCACATCCCGACAAAATGCAACAGGCCGCACAAATGGGTCACGCTGCGATGGCAAGGATCACAGGCGCAGTCAGCAGACGGGTCTCAGATCACGGCGCAGTATCTTTTACAACGGTCTCAAAGACAACACACACTGTCCCATACATGTGGCACACGCCCAAAACCCTGTCCCTCCTAGAGGCTCCTGCAGGACCGCAACGCACAACTTCCGTGATACATTAAACGGAGATGGTGGTGCTGCCTTTCTCTCAGCGGTCACTTGCTGCCATCACAGGACTGGAGCAGACGAAGGAGCAGTCACCTGGCCAGCACCCCATTCCCTCCACCCCCAAAGGACCGGCAACAGTCTCCTGCTGCCTTAGTTTGGTTTTAGTCCACACAAGAACTGTTCAGAGGCTCATCTCAATCAGACATCTTTTTCTGGTTTTTGTCCTTTGTACACATAGAGAAAGCGTGAGCGTTAAGGTTGGCATTCTTTAATTTCTCTTGTAAATGTGCTAGATTTTGTTCAAAATTAGACTTTTATCTATTGTAAAAATTATAAATGGGCTGCTTACAGAAGATGCTTCAGAGCAGTGACAGATAAAGGACACAAATATAAGTTTTATCAGTTAACTGGTAAGTTAAAAAACAAGAATTCTCTGCTTGCCTAAGCAGAGTCCTGACAGTTACTGTTGCTTCTGCACTATAAGCAATAGAAATGTTTTGCTAGACTGAATTTCAGAATGGAAAAATTAACCAACACACAAAATATGACCACGTTTTGGGGCAAAGACTGTCACGAACCAGAAGGAAGGGAGTGTGGGGCAATGACCTCCTGAATCCCAGGCAGAAGGACGCGTGCTGTTTGCCTGCGGTATGAGGGAAGGAGAGACTACAAAGCTCCCCCCCATCTCCTCCTGCTCTCACAATTGCATTTCAGCACCGTCATCTTTTCCGGGCTGGGGATGAGACAGGTTCTCAGTTGCCTTATTTTCTGGTGTGTAACTTGCACATTAAATGACCCTCACCTCTACAAAATCGCTGTGGCCAGCACAACCACCTGCACCTACCACACACAGCACTGGAGGCAGAGGGACTACGTGAAGCGGTAAACGGTGGAGGGAGCAGGGGAGGGACGGAGAATATGCCACTCGCTCCTAAGTATTTTTTTGATCTGCTGTTTTTTAAAAACAGATAACCTGTGTGCTATAAGGGTAAAAATACATTCATTGGCTACCATTGTGCCATTCCCTTCCCCCTCCACACAAAGAGGTGCACAAAATCCTAAATGCTGTAAAACCCAGAAATTTGCAGTTGTATAGGATAGACACCCTGGAAAGCCACCGCAAATTCACACTGTAGCACTGCCAACACACAAGATAGCTCACGCTAGTGAGAATCAAATATTCACAGCAGGCAAAATCTCTTCATAGGATCTGCTGATCAGACGCAATGGAAAACAGCTTGAATTTGGCCCACTTCCATTCCTTTCATCTTTCACAATAGTATACTAAGTATTCTCACTCCATCCACCCTGCAAATCCAAACCGCAGCTTACCACGGTGGACTGATCATTTGTCAGATGTACATGGCCTAGCTCAGGTATACAGACAAACTTAGGGAAAACAAAACAAAACCAACCTATACGATCACATAAAATACTTAATAAAATGCTAAGCGCATGCCACATCAAAAAGTTTGCGATATTAATAGCTGCCAGTAGCCCTGCACTGTTTTACAGGACAGCTGCAGAGGAACAGGTGGCGTTTTTCCTTTCTGGAATGCTCAAGTTTTCTCTGTTCCAGAATAAATTCAAGATTTCTAAAAAAAAAAAAAAAAAAGTCTGCTTTTCTGAGTAATCTCAAATTCAGATGCTTAAGAGCTTTCTGTTTACTTCCAACATTTCTTCTTATTTCCCTCATTTTTCCATTTTAAACAAAAAACTAATGATGAAAAAATACTTGCACAAAATTAGTTGATTTTGACTGATTCACAATCTGACTCAAATGCAGCACTGAAATATTCAGTCCAAATCCACAAGGAAAGGACTTTTTCCAGAAAAGCTGGAAAAAACTTCTTTTTCCAGAAAAACTTCCCAACATTTCTGTGTTTTGGGGTCTCTTTTTCTTCTGAAGGTTTCTTTCTAAAAAACACTTTTACGAAACATTGCTTTCCATAAACGTTTCCAAATCAGAAGATTTGGAAGCAACTCAATCACAGTCAGGGCACATACATTTAGAAACTTTAGGATGCTTTTATTCGCAGAAGATTTTATTCCCAGAAAGACTGCACCACA